TGCCTTATCATAGCCCTAATCTGATGAAACCTGGGAATGCGTCATATTAACTTGTCAAAGTTTAGCAGAACACGTTACACTATTGGAAAGTTCGTCCTACGTGGTATTGTAGCAGGTCGGCGCTTCTTCACCACCAGCCAAGTGCCCGTTGCAACAACCAAGTACGACAACCTGACCTAGCTGTTCGCCACTTCCCAAGGCCGTGTCGATTCCCTCCAGTATGTGTGCCATGTTGCCGGCACGTCTTTTGCCATCTGGGCCCTAGTGCTGCCATATTCATCATTTGAATCATCACTTTAGTCCCCCTTCACTCCTAGAATGCCGAAACGCCGTTATCAAGAAATATCAACTAACGAGCAATCGATACCCCAGGTGACTATGATGGAGCATATCCGATGGCTCGATAGGCCGGCTGGCTTGCTACTCGGGGAATATTGCGAGGGCTCGGGCTGCAAACTTGTTTATGTCAACGTATTATTGCACATCGCAGCCTCTGAAGTTCCTGGCGGGTCAGCACCAGAAGCACCATTCTACGCCCTCTTCCGGAAAGGGCCTCCACCCCTCCCGGTAGGAGACCCTGCGTCCGGAACGAAGACACATCGTGTGGAGCTCCGTAGGGTAGAAAAACCCTCATTTTGGCATCTCCCCGGTGTTCTATGCCGGCCTACTAGCCGCGAGAGCGTAATAGACATGCTCAATCAGCATATCACTGAAACAATGTAAGTGCTCTGCCTCAGCTCCCTCCATTACTTGCTTTTCTAATTTTGGTCATGGCAGGGGTCTCAGAATCATCAGCTGTACACATGTTATCAGCGTCAGCACTACAATAATCGACGACAAAGGAAGTGAGAAAAAGGTACTTGTCATCACGTTTGCAGGCCTCACCGAATGGAAGGATTTGTACAATCCGATGGCAGAATTTGGGCACATACGGCAATACCAAGCGAACCCGATAGCAGGTTATACCACGGCAAGATTCGGTAACCTGGGATGGTTTGCGAAAGAAGAGATCCTGGACATTGGATTTCGGTTGAGGGGAGACTGGCGCTTGCGTACAAAAATCATTGGCTTTCTGTCAATCAGAGAGGAAAACACTGCGCTTGCTTTGAATCGTCTATATCAAACACGGGACAGCATAGCGCGAATGTTTTGCCAGGGGATTTACGTTGACCAGCCGTATACTTAGCACAGTAGCGATTCGGATTGAAAACTCTGGCATCTTATTAGTAGCGTCTTTCAATACACTACAAAGGACCTTGTTAGGCAGTAGAATGAATCTCTCGTCTCGACCCAGAATTATGGCTTGTAAAGGGACTATCCACGCACAGACAGGTACACAAATAAAATGTGACCTGTCTGTGACTGATCCTGTCATCACTGATTGGCTGAGAGCCTCTCCCAGCAACATGCTGTGATTCATCTGCGAAAGTATCATGAGACCTTTTTCCTCAGCTGAGGAAATGCCAACAAAGAAAGGAGCAGAGAAACTAAGTCGTTCGTCTTGGGGGCAAAACTCATCGATTGTTCGTAGGTGGGGAAGGTGCGTGCTCAACTCAGGTGCTAGTAGGGTCAAAATCAGTGTGTTATTTAATTTGCGGTCTACCAATCTCAGTGCCTAGGCAGGTACTTTGAGGGTAAAAATTACCATGCCTGGATGAAAGTTGCTGGCCATGGCGAGGGAAGGTAAAGTGCCCGGAGTGGCTCAGCCACCATAGCCGCAAATGCCACAAGGTTGGGGTTGCTAAAGGAAAACACAGTACAGACTAATATTCACACGTACCTATACCCCCAGGCCAGGTGGTGCGAAAAATAGATGAGACCTTTTCCCATTACGCGTTATACAATACAAAAAATAGATACAAGATTTTAAAACCATTTACTAATTACTACTTAAGTAGTGTTTTACTTAGTTACCTATATAATAAATAGTAGTAGTTCTAGAAAGGATTGAAATGTCTAATAGATGAGTAGATGCTTGATTTCGAATTCAGAGATGGTTTGAAGGCACTGAATACTGTCTCATCTATTTTTCATACCACCTCCCCAGGTGGCCAGGCATGCCAGGCTACTGGACGTTCTCCATACTAAGAGGTATGCATATTTAGGTGAACACCTGCACGGGTAAGCCCACGTACCTAGCATCCTAGCATCCTAGGTAGGTACAACCGTCCACACTCACTTTGTGTGCCAGGCTTTCGATAGAATTCAAGGTGCAAACAACCTGCGTTTACTTCCCAGTTGCATTATCGATTGTCTCACATGCTGTGAGTTCGAACTCATGGGAGCTATCCACTAGGGCTCTTCCACTTGCACAATGAATTTTGCGACCGCTTTTTAGTTATCACCTCTCGTCACCACGTTGCTGCCATTCACTCCACTCCAATGGTCACATCTCACTCAGCTTGGCTCGATCTGCGGTCAATACGGCTTTGGCAAGATTCTCTGGAGCCCTCGTCACTTTGTGCTGTACCTGCCGTCTGTCTTAAGGCATCCGAGCTAGCCATTCCTTCCGCAGGGACATGCTACCGGGACATGCTACCCAGCATCGCGATTCTCCACCATGTCAAGAATACTCACCGATCAAGAAATTGAAGATGCCTCCAACAAGCTAGCTGCGTTTCGCCAAGTCAACGCCGAAGAGAACTTTCTCCAACGGTACGCCGATCTTCTGAAGGGCTACCAGCAACTGAAAAGTGACTTCGAAGAGGAGAAAGCCAATCGAGAGCGCTATAAGCAGCTTGCGCGTAACCAGGAGCGGAACCCCTTCGTGCTGGTTGTTGTTGACGGAGATGGCTACATCTTCGGAGATGAGTTCCTCAGCGCTGGTGCTGACGGAGGCTCGCGGCTGGCTCAGCATCTGCACCTCGAAATTGAGCAGAGCCTGCGCAAAAAAGGCTTGGACCGTTGCGATGTCATGGTCCGTATCTACGCTAATCTTGCAAGCCTGTCCCGCATCCTATCCAGGCATGGACTTGCAACCGCCGACAAAAGGTCTCTCTCTCCTTTCGTGGCCAACTTCAACCGATCCTACGGTTTAATGGACTTTATCGACGCCGGTGAGCTCAAAGAAAATGCGGATTTTAAGATACGAGCTCTCATAAACCTCTATGCCGAAAATGCCCAATGCAAGCACATATACGCTGCACTCTGCCACGACGTTGGCTACATTGGAGAGTTAACCAAGTTCAGGGGTAGCCGCGACAGAGTTACTCTTATCCGATCATCGGGTCTCCTCTTCCACGAACAGTTCCTGAAGTTAGACCTGGACATCGAAGAGTTGCGTGGCGTCTTTCGCACAACGCCGCTCGAGACGCCCACAATCCCTGACACAAAGCCCAGCATTACCGATCCAACAAAAGCTGCTGTGGCCGACTTATCCCACCGCGGTAAAAGTTCGCGGGAAACGCCAAAACCATGCCAGTTTTACCGGTCTGGCAAATGCCGATATGGAAGGGACTGCAAAAACGCCCACATTGACGCCAGAAGCACCTCTTCGGTTAGCTTATCAAAGTCCATCCATGCTTTTCCAGCTGGTGATCACGAAAGTTTTGATAGCGATCTACCTAGTGGATACGGTCGCTTCAAGTCACCAGTCGCTTCGTCGCTGTATCCTATCGAGAACAAAAGCGAGTATACGAATATACTACCCAAGAAGAGCGATATACCGGATGGCTACGTTGCTGTGAACAAACGTTCGCAACGCCTAGATCCTTACTTGCCACCCCCCGACCCGATGACATCTGCCAGACTGAGGGACCTATCGAACGGTAGGAAGTTCTGTAACAACAAACAGCTCGCAAACGCTTGCTTCGACGAGGACTGCAACTACGATCATAGTCCTCTTTCAGAAGATTTGCTCCCTGCGCTAGAGTGGCTATCACGTTCCATACCATGCAGAAATCGAGGGTCTTGTAGAGATCAGAACTGCGTTCAAGGTCATATGTGCCAGAATACAGAATGCCACCAGCGGGGTGGCAAGAGCAAATGCAAATTGCCAGCCGCCGCCCATGGGGATCTCACTTTCGACCACATCGTCCCTGCTATGCCGGACGTTACAAACAGTCAGATCACTAGCTATACCGCGTCTACAGCTTCGCCTGTGGGCAGTCATGTGAATCAAGTTCCAAGTGAGGACAACCCTTGGGATTTTTCCTAGTTCGACACAGCTGCATACCATGGGACTAGCTACGCATTAGGTGGGAAATCAGGCGAGAATACACCCCTGTCGACTACGAACAACGACCAAGTCGAAGAATAACGAATCATGGTAAACAGTCGAGCTCGTATCTTACAGCCTTGCCTAGCGGCAAAGATACATTGGCTTCAACTATCGTGAGACACATGTTGGTTTTTATCAACGCATGTTATCATGGTCACCGTAGGCAATAAACCTACATCAAGATCTCTCAACACAGGAATGTATCTAGAAAACGATAGGGATGTGTGTATCGAAATTACGAGTTCGATTCATACACCACTACATAGCTAGACCGAGAACGCGGGCAATCTGGATGAGGAGTTCACTATAGACACACTAAAGTGTGCCCTCGCAAAAATAAACATAAATATACACCCTCCCTTCCCCTACCTTGATCATCGTCGATTCTTATTGTAGAAATTTGATAATGTCTAGGAGTTGCATACCTTTTTACCCACCTACCTAAGCTACGTACATTGCAGAGTCCCGTCGGAGGATAACCGCCATCATCTGTGCCCGCGGGCATCAGCTAAGTAGACTGTAGAGACTGCCCTCGACTTGACTTTCATATTATCCAATACCCACTTCTGCATCGCCATTTTTCCAACTTTTGGCGACCCCATTTAAAACGCTGGCAGTCTTGGGCATTTACGAATCAGAAGCTGTCCAGCTCACGCCTAGAGCACACTACGAAAACTACCAAGCTCGCCAAGAGCTCTGTTGCAGGGCTCATCCCAGGCTAGGCGATCAATTCTAGCTTCCCTTCATATTTGATGTTTTCACCATCTGCAACTCATCAACCGGCCTCGTGGCCCAATGGCAAGGCGTCTGACTACGATCATGAGTCAAGTTGCAGCAGCACGATGTTCATATGATAATCAGGAGATTCTGGGTTCGACCCCCAGCGAGGTCATCAAATCGACGACAATCGTCGGTCTCTTTTTTTTGCGTTCTTTGCTTAATGGAAGCTCAAGCAGCTTTGCTGAGGCCGCCGAATCGTTGATTACAGCCTATTCCCTCTCATGCTGAATACCTATTTACACCAGAGCGTCCGCGTCCACTCTATCGAACCAGATATAAAATTCCTCCCCAGTGAAATCTATTGCCATCTTGACGGCCTTATCGTTCCGAAACAAGAATTTTATCCTCATGAGAACGGAGTCTTTCGACGGGATGTTTGTGGCGAGGACAATGTATTCGGTCTGCTCACGCACGTGGTCGAAGTCCATGGTAAAGGGCATTGACCGGTCGCTGGCATCGACGAAGAGTTTGCCCTTCTTGGCATCCACCGTCATGCTTTTGTAGCCCGGGTTCCAATACTCGCCCGTGTACGCACTTGGCGGCATCTTCTGTGGCTCCGATTCTTCGCGCAAGATGCGCTGCAGCTCACGCTGGTCAGGGTCATCTTCGTGTCTCTTGATCTCGTCGTCCTTCAGTTGAATCCAGTCCGGCCGCTCTGACTTGGGAACACCGAGGACCTCGTCGATCAGCTCGTGGCCCAGGATGTCTGCGACATTTCCGGCCTCAATCGAGTTTCCTAATATGACACATCCCACTTTGAAATCAGGGATGAAGAAGAATTTGCCGCCAAATCCATCGATGCCGCCGTCGTGGCCGATAATCACAACACCTCTGTAGTAGTAACAAGATAGGCCGACGGTGTAGAATGCCGGCGAGGTGAATGGCTCCAGATATTCGTGCTTGGGGTTCTCGAATGTTCGCATGGTGGTAAGTCCCTCGTAGACCTCCTCGTCGATCATATGTTCCTTGTTCATCAGAGCTTTCACCCATTGTATCATGTCGTTCACGCTCGTGACGATCGAGCCAGCCCCTTGCCCTTCGGGGCACTGCGGACCGGCGAAGCAGGCGTAGAGTTCATCTTTCGTGCTCCACTGGTATCCATAGGACATCCGATCGCCGAGGCCATGGGACCGAGCTCGCTCCGGTTGGAGATGGGTCGATGTCATGCCTAGGGGTCCGAAAAAGTGCTCTTGGAGGAAGTCCGCAAACGCGAGACCGCTCTTGGTTTCGACAAGATGAGTAGCGACTGTGTACATGAGGTTGTTGTACATGTACGTTGATCGGATTGGTTCCGTGATCTCCAAGTTGCGCAGATTTCTTGTGACGGATCTTGCATCGTCGGGCTTTGCGGCTCCCTGGCCCAGATATGAGTCGTCGTGCCTATGCAACGCGAGATTTAGCATCTGATAATAGATCTGTTTCTATAAGGCTTACATCGGTAATCCTGTCCTGTGACTTAGGACATCCTCTACTGTGACGGCATCTGTATACCTTTGATCCGACATGACGAAATCTTCAGGTAGCAACTTTGACATGACGGCGTCATACTTCACGTCGGGATATTTATCGTTGTCACGGACCAGTAAAGCGACGGATGCGGCCGTGAATGACTTTGAACACGATGCGATATCGAAGAGTGTGTCTGGGGTGCACGGCTTCGGCGGGTCTAGCGATGCCCACCCGTAGCCTGCGGATAAAACACGCTCGTCCTGTATGAGGGCGACAGCAAGTCCAGGCACGTGGTGCTTTTTTATGAGCTCTTCCACGTGAGAGGGGAAATCTGGAGACTCAAGCAGATCCATGGTTTGATATTTTGTTTGTAAGCTTGTTTTCGGTATCTTGCGAACAGTGGTTTCGAGATATAAGCTGTGCGCCGAGCTAATATTCCATCGGTGTGTGTTCATTGACAGAGGATATTCAGTCGTATACATGGGGATATTTATTCACCAATTTGCTCAGGCCAGATCGTATCTTCATTGATAATTAGAACGTGAGTCACGGGCCAGAAAGCTTATGCATCAGAGTGATTCATATTCATGTGCGGGTCAAGACGCGCGTATAACCCAGCCACGATCTTGTAGCCAGTGATGATAAGGTCTCAGCATACCGTAGCTCAAGCGCAGCTACGTAGAAAACGCAAGCAACATACGAGTTGAATAAACGTTTTGGGGGCTCCAAAAATGGCGAATAACGTAATGGAAACTCGCGACATATGGCATAGGGTTCATGGCTCTCTGTCGATGTATTATGTAACACGTAGTAGCTCTCAGGTCATCACTTAAAACTGACACTACCTGGTACGAATGTCTCTAGAAGTCTAGACGTGGGACTGTAAGAAATGAGAGTACCAAAGCGGTGAGGGCCTATCCATCTTGGGGTTGGTGCTCACTCCTCTCTTCAGTGAAGCTGACTGCAGATGGTCGCGCTTCTGCTGTTGGCGATACTGTAGTCTCGTGCTTGGCCTGCAACATCAGCAATGGACCAAGCTGCATCTTTCGACTATTTCCGCCTACAAGAGTTGGCATAATTGTCTCGAGGACTAACCCACAAATCAGGTTATTGTTAAGTCCTTGCTCGATCCTTGCATTGACGTGAGCAATGGTTCTCACTTGCTGGGTTGTTTATCTCAATTAGTGACTTAGCGATACTACTCTAGCAGGTCAATAGAGTGGTGATGTTACAACTGTGAATATGACGTTTCTCTATGTTGAAGCATTGAATGATATATGTACATAGGTATCATTGGCGAATCGGGTTCTCGGAGGGTTGCGCACCGAGAAAACCATACGCGGAGAGCCAGGTCGCGTCTTCCACCTCAATGACTGCCAACCACAGTGTCAATAAGGCATCGACAGCTTCCGCATAATCGTTGGTAGACGAGTAGACACCCCCGTGAAGCAATTTGACAATAAACCAACCCCGCATTGTACGACAGCAACCCCTCCCCCGCATCCAAGTCAAACAAAATAAGACTGGCAATATCTTCTTGTTGTTAGAATCATATTCGCGGGACAGCTACTGAGGCAACCGCTGCTTGAACTTATACCCCGTAAATACCCACTTCAAGGTACGAACAACGTATGTGCCGTGCCTGCATTAAGAGCCTTCAACGAAGCTCGAATCGGCAGGTTCACATAGAGACGCCTATTTTGCGACCTGCAGCTTTGAATTGACGTGAACTGTCACCAAAGCTTCTCGTGTGTTACCGTTCCACCTCGACCACAAGGAGCCAGATCTCATGTGGTACGCTTCAGCTTGCCAGTCGAGCACCTTTCCTCTTGCATCCAGTTGCCAAAGGTGCTGCTCATGATTTCCCGCACTGACGACCGCAGCATCTTGTTGATAACTATCAGAAGACACACGCTATGGCTCGTGCACGGCATCATCTGAATGGAGGATGGCAGTTTCGAGAGAAAAGTGATTCATCACCCGATAATCCATGGCTTCCGGTACAAAAAGTACCTACTGAGGTCCACGTCGATTTATTAGACAACAAGGAGTATGTCAACAATACATCTCTGGTAGGATTCTCATTGGAATTTCACAACTGACAGTCGTGAAGAATATCACACCCTTTCTTAGATCTCAATGAGCTAGCGATTCGATCACTTGCAGAAAAATCATGGACCTATAAGACACACTTTCCCAGGCCTGCAGAGCTAGTGTCCGACAAGCCGACCGTCATGGATTTAGTTTTCGAGGGCCTAGACACCTTTGCGACCGTCCAGTTGAATGATACTGAGATTTTGAAGTCAGATAACATGTTCATCTCTCATCGTATCGATGTGACCAGTCTGTTGAAGGACAAGAACGAGCTTGTGATCCATTTCGACTCGGCTATGCTCCGCGGGAGGGAGTTAGTCAAGGAGCACTCCCACGAGCACACTTTCTATGTGAGACAGACGGAGGTCAGCCGAGTCCCTGTACGAAAAGCCCAGTGTAGGTCAACCCCAACTCACCTAATGTTTCTTTTTGCTCCATGGCCCCAATCATCCACACTTGGTGTTGGGTAGAATTGCCGCAAGACTTCGGCTTTAGTGAAACGAGGACAAAAAGAATTGATTCTGATAATATATAAATACAGACCACTGGGGCTGGGATTGGGGCCCGATTCTAATCACGGCTGGCCCCTGGAAGCCTGTTTATCTTGAGCAATACGTCTCAAGGGTGGATGACGTCTGGGCAGAATGCGAGGTCAGCCCAGACCTTCTGACCTGTTCAGGCCGAATCTTGGCCCGGATTTCCAACGCAGACGGTCAAACTGTTAAGTTATCACTTTCGCTAAATGGATCGATCGTCTTCGAAGCCGAATGCACGGCTGATTCGAGCGGAGTTGTCGAAACACCAATTGAAATCGACAAGCCAAAACTTTGGTATCCCTTCACGCACGGAACTCCGACTCGATATGAGCTGAGGGCCACTCTGGGGTCTTGCGATACACTGTCCAAGATGATTGGTTTCCGGCGGGCTGAGCTGATCCAACAGGAGGACGAGTTTGGGAAATCGTTCTTCTTCAGGATCAACGGCCAGGACATCTTTTGTGGCGGATCTTGTTGGATTCCAGCCGATAGTTTCTTGTCGCAGATTCCAGAGCAACGTTATCGCGATTGGGTCAAACTTGCGCATGAAGGTAATCAGAACATGATCCGGATTTGGGGTGGTGGTATTTACGAGCACGATGCCTTCTACGATGCTTGTGACGAACTAGGAGTTCTGGTGTGGCAAGACTTCGCCTTCGCCTGCGCGTCATATCCTACATACAAGTTTTTCCTGGAATCTGTTGAAAGAGAGGCGCGACAGAATATCCGACGACTCAGGTCGCATCCCTCGCTTATCATCTGGGCCGGCAGCAATGAAGACTATCAGGTCCAAGAACGCTACGGACTTGAATACAATTACGAAGATAAAGATCCTCAGTCTTGGCTCAAGACTACTTTTCCAGCTCGATACACTTACGAATACCTTCTCCCAAAAATTGTGTCCGAAGAACACCAATTTGCTATCTAGTATGCTTTCTCTTTGACTGCCTGTACCCTAGATCTGCGATTTGAGCTGATAACTAATTCTCGATTTTGATAGTCATCCTACCGTATGTATCTGCTGAAGTTTCTC